GAAGGGAATTTTATGTTAGCAATTGTGACAGATTATGCTGATTGGTTGTATAAGATGAGGTTATGTAAATTTGAAGGGCAGAAAGATCATTATTTGGTAATGAAGCTAAAATTGAATTAGGTCATTCTGGAATATCAGCATTTATTAGTGGCGGTTCTATTGAAGCTGCGTGGCGATTAGATCCTTCTAGCATGGGAGGGTTGCAGAGATTGTTTTCCATGCTCAAGAAGTGTTGTGATAAGGATGGAATGCAAGTTGATACTTGATTTAGATTTTATTTTTGTATAAATATCTCTCTTGTTGATTAATAAATATTCATTTTTAAATGATGTCTGCTCGATCGTATTGTAAAATTAATGATGGAAAATTTCATAATTGTGATTATATTGATACTAAATGACAAAAAATCTCACATAGTAAAGATGATGAATATTACGAGGAGTTTCTAACAGGATTGTATTCAATTGCGCATCAGTTGATTTCTCAACCGGTTGAACCTCCAATTACTGATGATAACGAAAAATTTGATTCAGAATGAATACGATATTGGTGCTTTGAAGGATGGTGGATCAATTGATGAAGCGATTGTAACATCAAACTTACCTACAGAAAAACAAAATGTGTTGCAAGCTTTAAGACGAAATCAGTATACGATGTTGTCACGGTTTAACAGTTTAGCAAAGGATATTAATGAGGAAATATCGGTTCTGAAGTTACAAAATGGTGGTGATTGGGATATCGATATAATAGCCGATCTTTTGTTAAATAATAAATTAAAAGATGAGTTGCAGAATATTCGATTGAATCGGTTAGCTTACAGACGAGAGTATGAGAGGTTCTATACTGAAATATCTGAAGAAAAAGATTTAGATAGATTAAGAAATTACTGGGAAAATACAATAAATAATTCAAATTTCACATCGGAAGATAAGAATGAACTGAATGAATTACGTGATGCAAAGATAAAAGAGTTAGAGAATTCCGTTACTGATCTCGATGCTTTCACATCGATAAGAAATGGAATAAGGAATGACACATCCATAGCAAATTTGGAAGATAACGGATATTGGGATCGTAGAATAAGAACCGATAGTGTGTTGAATTCAACCCAGAAAGCAAGTCTGCAACAGTTTAGAGTTGAAAAATTGAGAGAATTATCCAACCAATACTACGATCAGATCAGGAATAAGCTTCCTAACATTAAGAATCCATCACAATTACAAGATGGTTCGAGGATTGATAGACGAATCCGACAATTGGAGAATGCTAATCTAACAGGTAGAAGGAATATGAAAGATCTTTAACAGTTACGTGTTAGCTTGCTGGATTCTTTGTTGGGTAGTTTGGAAGTTAACAAATGGGACAATTATCAAAGGTTGATAAATCAGTATTATAGACAAATCGATATTAATGATCTGGATGATACGAGTAAACTTGCAAATGATATATTGGCGTTAAACGCGACATTATTAGGTGATCAGAGAAGTAAACAAAGATTGATCGATTTAAGAAAAAACAAATATAATAATTTATTGTACATTTTATTGAGCGATTTGATTAGAGAGGAAAATGATGTAACAGAACTTGTCGATTTGGGAAATATGATCAAGAGATACAGGGGATTGATCAACAATATTTGGATTTTCCGAGAACCAAGGAACAGTTACAGAAAGAACGCCGTGATCGGTTAAATTTCTTGTCAAGTTCACCGCCAAAGGATGATAAATTGAATAAAAAAGATAAATCAGACAATAAATCAGATGATAAATTGGATAAACCAGACGATAAATTAGATAAAAAGGACGATATATTAGATAAAAAACCTGATAAGTTGGATAACAATAACATTAAAAAGTTACTCCTCAGATATCTTAGGGAGTTTTCTCAAGGCAAGTTTAACGGCTCGTTGGATGATGATAATCTGTTGGATCGAATGATAAATTCATCCACGGAATTGTCAGATACTCAAAAAATAGAGTATCAAAAGATTAGGAGGTCCATTAGCAATATGTACAAGGATGAAGAACGTGATCATTATTTCGTTGATCCAGATGATCAGGAGTATATTTCTGTCTTTCTCAATACATCGAAAGCAACGTTTGAAGATGTTGATCAATTGATTAAGAGGATCTTAAAGACAAAAAACAGGATGTATGCA